GTGTTTTGTGGTTATAAGCATTGTGTATAAGTTTCATAACATTTGGTTGAGGCAAACTAAAGTTAGAGAACGGAAACCAATTTAGGGACGTACGTACGTACAGACGGACAAGGGTAAAACTTAATGCCCCCTCCGCTACGGCGGGGGCATAAAAAGGGGGGGGGGTTCCAACCTTCGGACCACCCCCCCCTGGATGTGCCACTGATTTGCAGATTTATTCACCCAAAGGTATGGAAAATTCAGAATTTGACATTTTTTTCGACGGATTTTTTATAGTGAAAACGAAGAACCCAAAAAGGCTACCATTATCACCTATGTAAATAATTACTTCATATTAACCTTACGGTGCAAGCAAAACACTTTTCTGAAAAGGATTTTTTAAAGTAGCAAAGATTGGAGAGAATTCTTGAAATTTGCCTGCCTAATGCATTTTTTTATTGATAAGCTTTTCTTTCAAAAATTGGAGAGAAAATCCAAAGAAAGAAAAGTCCATTTTGGTCTATATCCATATGGCAATTTCAATATAAACAAGGTCAGCTTTCCCTATATTTTCATCCATCAATGTTGAATAATAATTTAGATTTCAAACATCTCTACTAACAAGAATTTTAATGTGACTTTTATAGACCGCAATTTTTTTTTATTTACTTGGAATTAGGGGCCTAAAAAGGGCCAAAAATAAGCATTTTTGTAACTTCCAGACAATAACTTGTGTGTTAGTGTATGGATCTCTCTGACATTGTACCACAAGGTCCCATATCACAAAGGGAATGCTGGGATTGATATTGGGGGTAATTGCCTCAAAATTTTAGGAATTAGGGGCCAAAAAAGGGGCAAAAAACAAGTATTTTTCTAGTTTCATGACAATAACTTGTGTGTAAGTGTATGTATCTTTCTAAAATTGTACTACAAGGTTCCATATCACAAAGGGAAAGCTGGAATTGAGTTTGGGGGTAATCAATGTTGAATAATAATTTAGATTTCAAACATCTCTACTAACAAGAATTTTATTGTGACTTTTATAGACCGCAATTTTTTTTTATTTACTTGGAATTAGGGGCCAAAAAGGGGCCAAAATAAGCATTTTTCTAGTTTCCAGACAATTACTTGTGTTCAAGTGTATGGATCTCTTTGAAATTGTACTGCAAGGTACCATACCACAAAGGGAAGGCTGGGATGGATTTTGGGGGTAATTGCCTCAAAATTTTAGGAATTAGGGGCCATAAAGGGGCAAAAAACAAGAATTTTTCTAGTTTCAGGACAATAGCATGTGTGTAAGGTGGAAGTGTATGGATCTTTATGAAATTGTACTACAAGGTTCCATATCACAAAGGAAAGGCTGGGTTTGAGTTTGGGGGTAATTGCCCTAAACGTTTAGGAATTTGGGGCCAAAAAGGGGCCAAAAAGAAGCATTTTTCTAGTTTCCAGACAATAACTTGTGTTCAAGTGTATGGATCTCTCTGAAATGGTACTGCAAGGTACCATACCACATAGGGAAGGCTGGGATTGAGTTTGGGGGTGATGAATCATAAGGGGGTTCAAAAAAATTTGTATTTAAATTGGTAATTATGGTTGCATATTCCATTGAGAATTTGAATTGAGATTATGACCATATCTTGAGGGGGGGGGGGTCAATACGCAACAGCATAGTGTATTTCACAAAAGCAAAAAAAAAGGGGGTAAATTTTTTTTTGCGAGGGGGGGGGGGGGTCAATTTTGCAACAGCATAGTGTATTGCACAAAAGTAAAAATCAAAGAGCTGAAAGCTCTGAGGAAAAATGACGCCACTGTCTCTAATATTGTGATATTTTTATGCAAGTCTTGATTTTCACATACCGTAATAAGTTTAACATTGCAACATGTCTCGTAAGCATATAATTGATATTCGTATATGTGTCTGTTTTTCAGTACAAATGAATAGGTCAAGACTATCTGAATGATCTACAGTTTCCAATTACTACTGGCTGTTTTTTTGTATAAATAAATAGGTCAAGACTACCGGAATGATCTACAATATCCAATGACTACTGGCTGTTCTTTTGTACATATAAATAAAGACTACCTGAATGATCTAAAGTATTCTAAGTAATGTGATTTTTTTCTTGCAATTACATTTTTCTAAATCAAGAATATAGACTGCTAGTATCCTTTTCAAACCAAATGGTTATCAAGAGCCTGCTGTTTGCAAGCTCTTATACCCCACATACTCATTAAATAAGTTACTAGTGACTTAGTTATTTCTGTTACTTTAAGCAAATTATATTTCTGTATATTTAGACAATAGTATAATATAGTTTTACTAGTTTTCTTTAACCTTGAAGATTGGACAAATAGGGATACTCCTTCGATTTTTTTATTTCATGTCAGTCAGGTCGCTTTATATGAAACTTGAAACTACTTCTCTGCCATATTGTTATTTTATAACAACTCTGCCCTTGACCATGTTGACCCATGTAATTGCTATTCATTCTTTAACCATATATCATAGTCAGTTATTTTTGATTTTGCACTCCCACACCACCTTTCATGTCTTTCAGGTCAAATGTCTGTCTCCATTTAAGTTAATGACATTGAACAATCATGGTATTAAACACAATTTCAATAGTGATAATGCTGTTCTCGTGGGTCACCATATATTCAACTTGGGTAGCATTCCAGTTATTGAAATTTGTGTCAGATTAGAACAATGACCTAGATGATTAGGAATGGATCTTATAATTTAATATGGAGCCATAGTATGCGATTCCTACACGGTAACAAAAAAAAACAAGCTTGAAAGGATACAATGTCAAGCGGCAAAATCTATCACCAGAGATTACAAGTCAAAAGAGGATGGACGGGATACGTCTCTAAATTGCTTGCTGAACTGGAACTACAGCAAGATCTCCAGACAAGACGAACAAAGCGTTGAAGCCAGAAGTTAATATTTATGTAAAAAGTAGTTGAGGGGCTGATACCCACTATTGAACCATACTGTCATTCTATAATATCATTGCGTAAGTATTTCTGTATTGGCCTTGTTATTGGTCCATGTCTTGGGTGTATTGGTCTGAGGCGAAGCGGAAGGCCAATACTGCTGGCCGAGGACCAATAATAAGGCCAATACAGAAATACACGTAATAGTATCTTTATTAATTAACTACAGTGTTACAATATTTTTTTTATTTCATTTCACAAGAGATAAACATTTTTACCTGGAAGTGGAACTATCCAAATCTCAGTTTCCTTTTATATAAGATGCAATATCTAATGATTCGGTGCCGTTTGACTGCTGGCCGAGAACCAATAATAAGGCCAATACAGAAATACACGTAATAGTATCTTTATTAATTAACTACAGTGTTACAATATTTTTTTTATTTCATTTCACAAGAGATAAACATTTTTACCTTGAAGTGGAACTATCCAAATCTCAGTTTCTTTTTATAAGATCCAATATCTAATGATTCGGTGCCGTTTGAAGTATCTTCAGCCTTTTCTCATCTGATGAATTTTTCTACCCTTTCCAGTCACTATAAAGTGTTACAACTTTAATTTAGACACAACACATAAATAGTTATTGGAAAGGTACTGCCATTTCATGTGTAATGCAAATATATTTAAAAAAAAAATAATGTAAGAGTTGAAGTTGATACAACTATCCATAAGCCAATTGAACAAAGAACGAAGATTTGCACAATTACAGAATGCATATGCCTGGTTCGGGTTTAAAAATAAACGACCGTTTAAATACAAAACATGAGAAACGACAATAAACAGTAAAAATCGATTTGTACCATCGACATGATGAAATTATGAGGTCGTCAAGAAATGAACTTTGTGATAATTTACTCGTTCCCTAAACCTGAAATAATCCCATCGTCTACTTTCAAAATGCTTTTTAAATGAATGGGACCGTCGTTAACCTAAAATATATGCCATACTGAACGTTTCAGCTTGTTTATGGTGAGTAAACCTGCGTTTTACAAACAACTGTTTACTTTCAGTTTGAGTTTATCGTGACTTACGATCTAAAAACTATAGAGATGTTCCGAAATCCTGTTTTGTAAACAAAGATTCATACGCACCGCGTGGGTATAACCGTATTACTAATTTCCGATTTTTAAAATCTTCGTCAATCTGGATAAAGACCAGTTTCTATCCAATGGATATCAAAATGATTCCGATTTTCACTTTTTTTAATGATTGTAAAGTTGAAATGGCATGAAAGGCTGACATTATTTAGGAGAACTATTTTGTCTAGCGATTGCTGATCATTGGAGGGTAAAAAGTCCAACACCATAACAAAACGGATCTATTTATCATGTATACATACCGATTGTTTACGATTGTAAGACATGTGCATAAAAGTGAAAGCTCGAATAAATATGAAAAATATAACAAAGGGATAGCTCCAAATACCATTTAATAACAAAAAACATATGGACAGGTCAAGATATCTTTTTGGTAAATAAAATAAAGTATGTAAATTGGTTCCCGTCCGACTGCAACACTTTGTTCGAGTGTAGCGTAATACAAGCAGATTCCAGTTAGTATGTTAAATAGTAAATACGAAACCGAGTGCGGTAGGCGGAGGCAATAATCGACTTCCGTAAGTTCTGGTCAATGGTATCGGAAACATGCCGCTGATAGCGTCATTTTCCCAAAAATGAATATAAATTCAAATCATATAACCAATTCTAAGTTCTTTGACTACGGTTATTCGGTGTCAGAAACCTATTATGTGTCAAATATTTAATTACAATCCAAATTCAGACCGGTATCAAGCACGAATATTGTGTCCATTTTTGCCCCAACTGTTCAGGGTTGGACCTCTGCGGTCGTATCCAGCTGCGCTCAGCGAAGCATTTTATTTAATATTAAATACCTTTTTTCAATTTCATGTTGACATCTAGTTTTTGGGAGAACTTCTACTTTACTGGACCCAATAAAAAGTATGGGAAACTATAGTAGATATCAGTATATAAGAATCGGCCGTGCCAAAAAGTTAAAAAACAACAAAAATTTTACACACATTTTATTTTGACATCTGGTTTTTCTTATATACATTTAAATTTTTCAAAAACATTTTTTTAAAGCATGTACTTCAATATTTGCCTTCAATAGTTCACTTATCAAAATAAGCAAAACACATGTGTTTTGTAATATATGAACCATATATATATATGGGTTTTCAATACAGACATTTATTTATATAAATTCAATTTAACTTACATACTTGCATGTATAAACCACATGCAGTGTAGATGATAACATAGTTACAATTATAAGTGTCCATGAAAACCATACCCTGCTTACACTTTCATATTTCTATATTCAGTGAACTGTCAAAATTCTAATTTGGAATATATTTTAAGAATTCACACCATAATAAATTACAACAGTGTTCAATTCATACAAATGTTGATGTTTAATCATTGGAAGATGAATCATTTTATTCTGTCATATGCTTTAAATTCCTATGAACCACTGTATGAAAGCAATGCAAGATTATAGAATTATTAGCTCTGCCTACCTTGTTAATCAACACACTTTTTTGTGCATTGTTTGTATTCTGCATGCAAACTATTATGCTTTAAAAACAAACGCAAATTTAATTCATTTGAAACGTATTATACTGTAAATTCAGAAATTATTGCTTGAATTTATTATTAAGATTTTTTAAAATTGGACAAAAAAGCATGATTAATTATTGCAATTTCGGGAAAAGCTGCCTACAGACACATGTTATATTGACTGATTCAATCACTTTATAAAAAAACGTCATGGGTTCACAGAGCCAAATAAGCTTCTCCTGTCATGTTTGATGTTTAACTTCTCTATTAAAATCTTTATGCATAGTACAATTTATAAAAAATCAATGAAGATTTAAAGGAGTCTCTTTTGGCCGTTCCCTTTTATTAAGAGATTATAAACAAATAACTCTTGAATTTACAATTGTATACCAAAACAGTTTAAACACATTCTTTTTCTAGCAAAATTGTTCACATTCCTTCCTTTTTTTTATGTACCTTCATCTGACTCTTAAATGGGTAGATATTAACATCTAGACACTTTTATTTTTCATGACTTATTTCTAAATAACCAAAATGTTACAATAATGATATCTAAAATCATACTTCAACCAGTTCTGTTACCTATTCTGATATCGGACTATGACTTCTTTGAAACTGAGTTTTACTGTGCGTATTGCTGTGTGTTTGTTTATTATACATTGGCTAGAGTTATAGGGGAGGGTTGAGATCTCACAAAACATATTGGATGGAGAATTGTCTCATTGGCACTCATACCACATCTTCTTATTTATAATAAACCCGCCGCATTTTTGCGCCTGTCCCAAGTCAGGAGCCTCTGGCCTTTCTTAATCTTGTATGTTTTTTTAATTTTAGTTCATTTATATGTTTCGGAGTTTAGTGTGACGTCCATTTTCACTGAACTAGTACACATTTTTGATTAGGGGCCAGCTGAAGCCCGCCTGCGAGTATGGGATTTTCTCGCTGTGTTGAAGACCCATTGGTGGCCTTGGGCTGTTTTCTGCCTTTTGGTCAGGTTGTTGTCTCTTTGACACATTAGCCTTATTGGAATAATTTTTTTTAAATTGAAATATTATGAACTGACCTTTGCGGTATTGACCTTAAAAAGTATTACAAATCTCAATATTTGATAATAAATACTTATGTTTTATTCCACTTCCAAGTAAAGTTATCAAGCATCCAGAAATCCTTGTCTGCACAAATTCAATCCATTTGCAGCACCTGTGACCTTGAAATTAGAGGTGTTAACCTTAAAATCAATCTGATCATTCCTCTTATTAAACATAACCCTATCATTAAATCTGGTTCATCTCCAGAAATCCTCCATCTTCCAGTAATTTGGGTCTTTTTTAGTATCTGCGATTTTGACATGTTGACCCAAAATTCATTAGGGATCTTTTTCATATCATTTGTGACCTGATATTTCAAATCCCAAGTAAGTTTCTTAAGTCATCAACTACAACTAAACCCATTTTCTTCAATGATTTTGGTCTGTATATATAGTATCTTTTACCTTTCCCTTGGGCGTGTTGACCCCATAATCAAAAGGGACTTTTCACTCATTAAATGTGACCACTTAACCAAAGGCTTTTGAGCAAATTCTTCTGGGAAGCCTTTTTCTGTCATAAAGTGGGTCTACTGTTAAATTAGTATCTGTTACCTTGACTTTGAACAATCATGTCTCAATTACATATATATCCCTGGTTTATTCCTATCAGTATAGATCACAAGTTATATCATCCATAAACCTAACTTAACTGACAGACAGGTCAACAATATTTTTACCTTGAGATTAATGAAGTGAAAATAAAAATATCTGATAGAAAGTTTGCCTAAAAAATATGCAAGTTTTACCTTTGTTTTGGTAAAATTAGAAGTCATTCAATATGCCTACGTGACATGACAAGAACAACTTCAAATACATATCTCAGAGCAACACCTAGCACCTTTGTAAAACATAATTGGCTCAAACAATTTTCATTACACTTCAATCCTTATCAATGAACAATTTTCCTATGGATAAGAAAGTACTAAACAATCCTTGTTCTTTTTGACAAACATTATAAAATAAGCATGAATATTGATTAACCTCATTTTAAATGAGCTACTTTACAACACACATATCTAAGTCTAAACTAACTACAATAGATATTTATACATTAGTCTCATTTTAAATGAGGTATATATACCTATAATAACATATCTCTATTTCTTATAAGACAATCTTAAAATTTAAAGGACATGCAGGTAATGTCTTATTCGGCTTCAATGGTAAATCAGATCAAATATTTACTGAAACAGACATGAAGTTATTATTTTTCATCTAAAAATAAAAGGAAAACCTGAAAAACAGTTTGTCAATTCATAAACATCCAAAGAAAATCAATTTTAATTAGGATTTTCAATAAATGTAAAACCAAAAAAAGACTGAAAAAAGACTGTCACATTTCGAATTTAAATCATTTTGACAAGAAATCTAGTTGTTCAAAAATAATATTTTATACAAAGATATGTAATAAGATTAATATAAATATATTAAATTCAAACAAAATTTTATTCTATTTAAATTTCAGCACTTTATGAGAACACTGCTTGCACAACTCGGCTAGCTATCATAATCATCAACTCTTAAAATTTTGACTAGGTCATACTATTTTTTAAAAATTACTTTCATTACATTTTTGTTTGACAGTTCATTATAGTTGAATTTCAGTAATATCATGTAAGTGTGGGAACAATTTTGAATTCAATTGCAATGATAATAAAAAACAATTAATTTTTTCAGTTGTTACATAATAAGGAATACAAATATATATGAATATCAACAAAACGCAAAAAATTAACAGTTGTTAACAGTTTATAGTATAGTCACATCTTAGTCTTTGACAAATTTTACTGTTCTTTTAAGTCTTTAGGTTAAGCTGAGGTTGAAATAAGTATCAACAAGCATTCTGAGAGTATTGCATGGCAATACATAGTACCCTACCGGTTAAAAATTCATTGTATTGGAACAAAATGTATTGGAACAAAATGCTAATTTGATCTATATCTTGTCATGGTGTACACTATATAACAAATATCAAGTCAATATCTTCAAGCATGATGAAAAGAAGTGTTGAAAACTGATTATTTAAGTGAATTTTCTAAGTCCAAGGACCATAACTCTGCACAAAATCATCAGACCGGAACAAAATTTGTTCTTGATCTGTAACTTGTCATGATAAAACTATATACCAATTATCAAATCAATATCTTCAAGCAAGAGGAAAAATAGTGCAGAAAACTGATTATTTGAGTGAATTTTCTAAGTCCAAGGACCATGACTCTGCACAAAATCATCAGACCGGAACAAAATTCGAACTTGATCTGTAACTTGTCATGATAAAACAATACACCAAATATCAAATCAATATCTTCAAGTAAGAAGAAAAAAAGTGTGGAAAACTGATTTGCCGGACTGACAGATGGACAGACAGACAGACAGACAGACAAGACAGACAGACAGACAGACGGACTGAGTTCAAACCTAAAGTCCCCTTTGACTTCGTCGTTAGGGGACTAAAGAAACACCTACAACAAGAATGTGTCCATTATTAAGTACACGGATGCCCCACTCGCACTATCATTTTCTATGTTAAGTGGACCGTGAATTGGGGTAAAAACTCTAATTTGGCATTAAAATTAGAAAGATCATATCATAGGGAACATGTGTACTAAGTTTCAAGTTGATTGGACTTCAACTTCATCAAAAACTACCTTGACCAAAAACTTTAACCTGAAGCGGGACAGACAGAAGGACGGAAGAACAAACAAACGGACGCACAGACCAGAAAACATAATGCCCTTCTACCATCGTAAGTGGGGCATAAAAATACCGAACTCCAAGGTAAAATCAAAAAGGGGAAAGTCCATAAAACCTGACATAATCAAATGCTCGACTATATCAACAAACAGAATGAATGGAAAACAACTGTCATATTCCTGACCTGGAACAGACATTTTCTGAAGAAGAATGTGGGTTGAACTTGGTTTTATTGCTAGCAAAACATCCCACTTGTATTACAGTTGTTTATATCAACCTCAGTAATAAATGGAGCCTAGAAACATCTACAAAAAACAAGGAATATCAAATAGTGACTAGATAAAGATTTAATTACATTTCTGGAGGAAATACTAAACTGATAAAAATAGCATGTTAATATTAAACTAGCACTGTTTAATTCATCACAATCAACATGCTATTTTAATATTTTCTCCTTTTTGCAACAAACTAAAATTTTAATTTGTTATAAACTCAATTACACTTAACATCTTTTAAAATTTCTTTCTTTAATATGTGTAATGTTGTGTATTTCCAGGTACTTAATGATATTCTAAAACAAGTTTAGACTTGGCCAATGGGAAATACCATTACATTTAAGCTTATAGACATTTAGTCAATTGTATGTATCAAATAAAATCATAGAGTTATAGATACACAGTAAAACTGTTGGTCCAATTTTTAATGTTTTTCGGGTGACAGGACATGAGTATATGTGTCCATCCCAAGTGATATGGTAAAAATCACACAAAAAGAAATATATGAACATTTTAACTTTCATTTCTATACATATTTTGGATTATTAATGTGTGAAAATTTATATTTCAAAATATTTATGTACAAAATAATACACTTTGAGGCACTAACTTCAATGTTACAACCTCAAGTTTATCACCAAACCATTTTTCTTCTTTTCAACAGTAAATATTTCCATTTACAAACTATAAGTAGATTTATCTATATTTAATACCAATATATTATTTCAAAAATAACATGAAACTTTAAATAGATAAACTTTTAAAAAATACACTGTACAATAACGAATGAGCAAATATTATCAATAGTCAATCAAAAATTAGTAATGTCAAGAAATATAATTTTCCTATTATATATGCATCTTGGAAAATATAGTTCATTTCATTAATGAGTTTTTCAATGATTTTTTTTATTAAAAAAAAAAAAGATCATACAACCAGGAATTACTGAAATCAGATCTTCAGAATAAAATTGTAAATAATGCTGAATAATGCAAGATTCAAAGGGAAAAATATCAGAATACATGTGCATTAATTGTAGAGATCAATTTATGGGGAATTGGTTTTAATGCTTGAATGCATAATCAAAACTCCCCAGATCATGTTCCAGACTCAATTATCATTCTCAAAACTTCCAAGACAAAGACTGTTGAATGGGTCTTCATTCTGCACTTCATTGTTTCCTGTGTTATTGTCTATTCCCTGTAAAAAGAAAATGGTGTTAATACTTGAATAAATTATTTAAGGAGTTGGCATGCATGCTCCTAAATTGAAGCAACAGTAGTTTACCAATGACAGGCAAACTTGTGTATAAATGTCACACTTAGGAGCAGAGAAAATGGACCTATCAAAAAAGTTGATATTGGACGGAGGTTTTAAAACCTAGGTAATTTAAATTCAGAAATATTTGCATGCATTTATTATTGCAATTGTTAAAGAGTGCACACGCTGAAATGTCTCGCCTACTATAATGACAATAAACATTAACATTTATGATCCACGAAAATGAGGTCACGGTCAAATAAACTAAGCCGGAAATACATGTACACCTTTAAAACAATCATTATATACACTATTGCTTATAGTATAAAAGAAAGACCAAACCATTGAAATTTTATATTGACCAATGAACCATGAAAATGAGGTCAAGGTCAGATGAACCCTTCAGGCAGACATGTACACCTTAAAATCATTCCATGCATCAAATATAGTTGACCTATTGCTAATAGAATCTAAGAAACAAAGTTAACCAGGAAAACTGATAATTGACTAATGAACCATGAAAATAAGTTGAAGGTCAGTTGATAATTACCAGACAGACATATACACCTTACAAATCATTCCATACACCAAATATAGTTGACCTATTGCTTAAAGTTTAAGAAAAACAGACCAAAACACAAAAACTAAACATAAAGCAATGAACCATTAAAATGAGGTAAAGGTCAAATAAAACCTACAAGACTTACATGTACATCGTAAAAATATTTCCATACACCAAATATAGTTGACCTATTGCATACAGTATAAGAAAAACAGACCAAAACACAAAAACTTAACTTTTACCACTGAACCATGAAAATGAGGTCAAGGTTAGAAGACACCTGCCAGTAAGACATGTACACCTTACAATCATTACATACACCAAATATAGTAGACCTATTGCTTATAGTATTTGAGATATGGACTCGATCACGAAAACTTAACCTTGTTCACTGATCCATGAAATGAGGTCGAGGTCAAGTGAAAACTGTCTAACAGGCCTGAGGACCTTGCAAGGTGGCACATACCAAATATAGTTATCCTATTACTCATAATAATAGAGAAATTAACAATACAAAAAATCTTAACTTTTTTTTCAAGTAGTCACTGAACCATGAAAATGAGGTCAAGGACAATGGACATATGACAGACGGAAACTTCATATCATAAGGCATCTATATACAAAGTATGAATCATCCAGGTCTTCTACCTTCTGAAATATTAAGCTTTCAATAAGTTAGTTAACGCCGCCGCCGCCGGATCACTATCCCTATGTCAAGCTTTCTGCAACAGAAGTCTCAGGCTCGTCAAAAAATGGAGTCATGCCTTTTCCATCTGATTTTTAGTTTGTTCTTATGTTGTGCTCTTACATCACTGTCCAAGGTTAGGGAAGGGTTGACTGTTCAGGAACATGTTTAGCCCTGGCATTCTTTATGACTGTCCCAAGTCAGGATCCACTAATTCAGTGGTTGTCTTTGGCTTCTGTCTAACATATTTTTTTTTGAATTATAAATAAGGCCATCGGTTTTCTCTTTCAATTGTATCGAATTTTATCATGCAGAGGCCTTTTATAGCTTTCTATACAGAATGGACATGGCTCATGGTTGAAGGTTTTACAGTGACCTACAGTTGCTTATATCCACATACTTTGGTCTCGGGTGGATAATTTTGTAATCATACCACATCTCCTTATTTTACATACTGGTAGAATTTAGGTAAGGGAGCTACCATTTGATTTTATGGGGGTGGGGCTAGGATGAAATTTGAAAAAAAAGCAGGACAGGAGTTTTGAGTAAAAAAAAAGGCAGGATGAGCAACTTGGCAAAAAAAAAAGACATGACAACTTATGTAAAAAAAGTCAGGATAAACTAATAAAAAAAAAAAAAGGCAGGACTAAATAGAGTGAAAAATAAAAAGGCAGGATAGAGACTACAACTAAAAAAAATGTAGGACAAAATTTTTCATCCTAGCCCCCCCATAAAAATCAAATGGTAGCTCCCGAATTCAATCAAATTCAAATGTGGGTTATAATTAAAGTACACACCTGTGCAAGATAATGAGGATTCATTATTACAAGTTAGATATATTTTCCTTCTACAATTAAAGACTTACACTATCTGATTGGTTTTGTTCATGTGGTAAAGGCATGTGATGAGGTTGTTCAGATAAAGGCTGTCCAGATAAAGGCTGTCCAGAATATGCTGAATTTAACTCTGGTCTTTGTGGATTTATAGTCTATAATAATCAGTTTCATATCATCATAGAATGTTTATATGGTGAATTTCAGTATATGTATTTTGATTAGCCTAAGAACAAACAATTTAAAAAAAAAATGTGTTAGTTCACTAGAATAGCAGGGTATAGAAATACAATTACTTTTTATTACATATATGCAGTGAACTTTAAACAATTCTCCTGCACTTATAAACAAAGAAGAATCTTAGAGCTTGTTAAGGTCTGCTAAATAAACGATGACCTTTTCAAATTAATAATAAAGAAGTTAAGGGCCAAAATTGGCCTAAAAACATTTGCAGTTTTACAAAATGAGGTCATTTTTTCGTAAAGATAACCGATACATGTACATACTAAGTGTAAGCAAGTTAGGTCTATGACTTTATTTGGAAATGATTATCCACATGGTAATATCCAAATCTAATTATCATAAGCAAGGTAGGCTAAAAAGCATAACTTTGAGCTTATCCTGGAATCACTTAAAACATCTTTTAACCTAATTGTGAGTTTCCTTTCAAAGAATAAACTTTGAAGTAAGAGGGGGGAGGTTGGTGTGTCTGAGTTTTACTGCTAGAATATAAATAAGGAATCATAATTTAGCTGATCAGATACAGAAATTTTTTATTTACACAAAATTGGCTAAATTGGATTGAAATAAAAGAAGATGTGTCTGAAGACACGTCTTTTTATGCTCTCACTCAAGCTTTGCAATTTAAAAAGAAAGGTAAATGACTCACTGCCCAAACTCAAACTCTGTCTGTGTGTTGTGTTTCTTAGCATTGTGTATAAGTTTCATAAATTTGGATGAGGAAAACTAAAGTTAGAGTGTAGAAACAAAAATGGGATGGAAGGAAGAAAGGAAGGACTGACGGAAAGATAAAGGGTCAAGGGTAACACTTAATGCCCCCATTGCCTACAAAGGGGGCATAAAAATACTGGAATAAAGCAAATAAAGATTTAACAAGCATTCTGAGAGTTTTGCATGGCAATACAAAGTCCCCTACCGGTTAAAAATTAATTGTACTGGAACAAAATGCTAACTTGATCTATAACTTGTCATGGTGTAAACTATATAACAAATATCAAGTCAATATCTTCAAGCATGATGAAAAAAAGTGTTGAAAACTGATAACTTAAGTGAATTTTCTAAGTCCAAGGACCATAACTCTGCAAAAAATCATCAGACCGGAACAAAATTCGAACTTGATCTGTAACTTGTCATGATAAAACAATGTACCAATTATTAAATCAATATCTTCAAGAATGACGAAAAAAAGTAAAGCAAACTGAATATTTGAGTGAATTTTCCAAGTCCAAGGACCATAACTCTGCACAAAATTATCAGACCGAAACAAAATTTGAACTTAATCTGTAACTTGTCATGATAAAACAATATACCAAATATCAAATCAATATCTTCAAGCATGAAGAAAAAAAGTGTGGAAAACTGATTTGCCGGACTGACAGAAGGACGGACGGACGGACGGACAGACAGACAGACGGACAGAGTGCAAACCTAAAGTCCCCTTCGACTTCGTCGGTAGGGGACTAATAATGAAATTTATTTACCTCAAATGTGTCCAAATCATAAATAGTGGCACCTGATTTCAATAGGCTTTGAATGTCTGAAAGAAAAAAATATAAAAATCTTCTATACACATGAATTAGATGTCTTTATTGCAAACACTGTTTATTTACTGAATCTAAAGTGCTATCAGAAAGTTTATAAACATAGAGAACGAAGTGAAGCTGAATCAAATACTATATGCCTGATCAATTGTCTCCTAAAAAAAATCTGCAGTCAGCTTTGTCAACATACAAAGAAAAAGGAGTCCTCTCATTTTAAATTAAAAGGGGACCATCTTATACTTCTCTTTACATTTATCTTTTTTAATATTGACAGCCATATTTAGTAATCAGTAGGAAAATCATATACTGTGGATTCATTTATTTTCATGAGTGCCAATTTTCATTGGTTGAGAAAAACTTTCATTTTCGTTGATATTTGATGTTTGATTTTGCCATAGTCTGCTGTATACACCCTTATAAAAAATTTGTAATTCCTAGAGAATTTAAATTCATGGTTTACCTGTACCCACTAAATCTACAAAAATTTGTATCAAACGAATAATAATGATTCCACAGTACATTGTTTAGTTTAAAACCAGAAACTATAGGGATATAAATCTTGAAAGGCCATTATCAGCAAATCATAATTGAGAGTTTATGACCTCTAGCCTTGATTTTCACAGCAATTTTCCATCCAACAAAAATGGATAAAATCTTGAACAGTAAGTGTAAAATTTGTCTGAACTTTATTGATATTCCACTATATTAAACCATATGTTAAAGTTTCAAAAGGTTTAGTCAAATGGTGTAAATTCCTTTGCCAAATGATTAAATCAAACATATCCATCAAAATCATTTTTTATAAGAAAAAGGCATTAGTCTGAAATAGAAAATGTGATGTCAAATCAAAGTGCTTGTGAGCACTGAGGGATAAAGAATGCTTCAATTTTGCCATGTAAATTTAAAACAAAACATTGAATTGTATTAACTAGGCTAATCATAAATTCGAATTGGAGTTATCTTCCTTTGTTCATCATTGTACATGTATGGTTGAACCTATTTTTTTTTTTTTTTTAACAAATCCATACTCTGCATAACTTAGGTATTTTTTAATAGAAATAAAGTTTTCTTGACAAGTAAGGTTATTAATATACACACCATGTTGTAACTTGAATATCTGAGTATAACTTATTAATAAATTGCACGACAGTGACTAGATTTGATCTAAAGAATGCTCACCTCACTGCACTATTTTGTGTTAACTATCAAAAGTATACAATACTGTAAATTCAGAAATTATTGCAATTTTTTTATCATTGCGAAAAATGTGACAGGGTTATAATCGCAATAATTTAAACTCGCATTTTGAGGTTGAATTCTCTGTCATTTATTCATCATCCACACAGGAACTTGTTTCAGAAAAAAAATCTATGTACCTTAACCTAACTTTCAGGTGTAGAGATATTTTATTTTTTCTGAGACAAGTGCCTGAGACTATCCACCAGAACTTGCGGTCATCCGATGTCAATACTTCAGTACTTTGATTTAAACTAAATACCCCAGTAATGATATGGCAAAGTTTGGTTAAATTTTGCCCAATAGTTTCAGAGGAGAAGGATTTTTGTAAAAGTTAAGGGACGACTACGACGGACAACGTGGCAAGTGATGAGAAAAGCTCACTTGGCATTTCGGCTAGGTGTGCTAAAAAGGGTTTTGATTGCATTTTATGCGATCTTACCCAAATAAAACAGAACATAACTCACAACTTCTGGTCCATCAAACTTTCAAAAGATTTGATAAGGAGTGCTTTCATTAGTCATGAAACAAAGACAAACTAGTACATGTAGTAGTTTAATACTTTAAGATATAATTCTTGAATGACACATCACATGTCATATCAGTTCTAAATTAAAACTTGGTCTCTATTTCTGGATCACCACATTATGTAAAAATATACAATGATTTTGTCAATTATTGCTTATTATCTAGGAACCTGAGAATCTCATTTTCATGTGATTAAGGGGTATAATACTTGAATGGTAAAGGTGAAATATGTCGAATCCTTTTTTTTGTTTAATTAACCAACCTATTTCATCTTCTAACTGTTCCAGTTTGATCTGCATAAAAGGCTCAATACCATGATTTTGATTGTCTGGTACAAGGTAAACAACATTATGTGTCATATACTTCTGTGGACTTTTCAACAGTACCTTCCCAGTTTCAAGATCCCTCAAAACTTTGGATTTACGACCATAATGTTGATTTTCCCAGTATTCTATTCTACCTAAAAGTAAAAATAAGTTGTTTTTTCAACTTACATCTATCTAATCTCATAGCAAGCTTAGTATCTTTTGGATAAAAATCTCCATGGAAATGAAAAGTGATGATGCTTATACAACTGCATGCATATCAAATATTATTGACCTTGCACTGGTGGTTCCCCTTTAAATGACATACACTCACAAACTAAAACATTGTTGACACTGCCTCTGTTGGAAACAGCATGCCTAAGTCTTGTTTTCTCCATTTCATCGAGATCAAACAAAAATCTAATCCACATTTATAGTATAAAATACAATAAATAAAATATTACCTCTTCTTGGCCTGTCATCTCCTGATATTTCCCATCTTAGGAGATACATATAAGAAGGACCAGAGGAGTTGGTATTCCCTGAAATTCAGAAAATATTTGTATAATATACATGTATGATGCACAGACCAGAAAACATAATGCCCTCCTACTATAGTAGTAGGTGGGACATAAACATTTGCACATGGAAAATGGAAAACTTAATTATAAAGCCTCTCTTATTTTTACCTACTAGAATATCCTTTTTATGTTTATTTAAAAAAAGGTAGGGTTAACAAAATAAACCATCGCCTGATGAGCTGAAAATAATCAAAGAAACAAAGGAAAAATAGTTATCTGAATGCAAAGGTAACTCCCAAACAGCTATTCCTGTCAACTTTACAATACTTGTACTCATAATATTATATCTTCAAAATAGTTTATACTTTTGCTATTTCTAAGTGAATCAGGCTCACCTGATGTGTGATTATTTGAGTACTTTATTTTTTTCTTTTAAATTCACATCTTTTAATTCATAGATATTCAACCAAAATTTACTCCTCCAAAATCCATAGCTAGATGATGTAATCCAAACCAGCATGTTTCATATATTTACTTACATCCTATTAAACTATTTTTCAATCACATACTGTTTATCTCAATTTTTCCCATGTGTCTCAATTTCATGGAATTTAACCTGTATGCAAATATTTCACTGTTCATTTAAATGTATTGTGCAAGGCAGTGAAAACGGTAAAAATGAACATAGCAATGATTTAATTGTCCAATCAAAGGCTCAAACTGCAAACAAAACCAGACTAAATAAAATGCTCCGCTGGGGCGCAGCTTGATACGACCGCAGAGGTCGAACCCTGAACAGTTGGGGCAAGTATGGACACAACATTCAAGCTTGATACAGCACTGAATTTGGATTGTAATTAAATATTTGACACAGCATAGGTTTCTCACACAGAATGAAAGTAGTCTAAGAACTTAAAAATTTTTTAACTTACCTATTCAAACCATATCATTATTATTTGCTTTTATATATAAATCAGAAATAACCAATTTAAAATGGAAAATTTTAAAGAAAAAAAAATCCCCCCCCCCAAATTTTTTGAAACCCCCTTATGATTCATCACCCCCAAACTCAATCCCAGCCTTCCCTTTGTGGTATGGTACCTTGCAGTACAATTTCAGAGAGATCCAAACACTTGAACACAAATTATTGTCTGGAAACTAGAAAAATGCTTGGGTTTTTTGCACCTTTTTGGCCCCAAATTCCTAAAAGTTTAGGGCAATTACCCCCAAACTCAAACCAAGCTTTCCCTTTGTGATATGGAACCTTGCAGTACAATGTCATAAAGATCCATACACTTACACACAAGTTATTGTCATGAAACTAGAAAAATGCTTGTTTTTTTGCCCCTTTTTTGGCCCCTAATTCCTAAAATATTGAGGCAATTACCCCCATCATCAATCCCAGCCTTCCCTTTGTGGTATGGTACCTTGCAGTACAATTTCAGAGAGATCCATACACTTGAACACAAGTTATTGTCTGGAAACTAGAAAAATGCTTATTTTTGGCCCCTTATTCCTAAACGTTTTGGGCAAGTACCCCCAAACTCAATTCCAGCTTTCCCTTTGTGATATGGAACCTTGTAGTACAATTTCATAAATATCCATACACTTACACACAAGTTATTGTCATGAAACTAGAAAAATGCTTGTTTTTTGCCCCCTAATTCCTAAAATTTAGAGGCAATTACCCCCAAAATCAATCCCAGCATTCAAACCCTCAATCAGCATCATTTAACAGTAATATCTAAAAATGGAAATTACATAATAAAGGTATTAAAATAGAAAATGACATCATAGGCATGGCTAAAAATAAACAAAATCCTTAATCAGCAACATTTTACAGTAATATCTAAAAATAAAATTCCTTTGTAACCATAAAAGCCCATTTAAATACATCATGACAGATATTAAAATAGAAAATGACATCATAGTCATGGCTAAACATAGCAAAAACCTTAATCAGCATCATTTAACAGTAATATCTAAAAATAAAAATTTCTTTGCAACCATAAAAGTAAAATAGAAAATGACATCATAATCATAGCTAAAAATAAACAAAAATTTTTTTTATTACCAAATTTTAAATGGAGTTTATTAAACTAAAACAATAAATTTGCAACCATAAAACCCCATTTAAACACATCATAAAAGTATTAAATAATTCAACTACATCATAAGGCTATAAAAATAGAAAATGACTTCATAGTCAAGGCTAAAGGAAAACAAAAAACCTTCATCAGCAAAATTTTATATTGGCAAATTTCCAATGAAGTTTATTATACTAAAATTGTTGGCAAATTTCCAATGCATTTATTAACAATAAAGTTATTAGCAAATTTCCAATTTACATAATTTAAAAGCAGTGTGAGATATTTAAATGAGTTTGAATTACCAACCTTACACTGCTTTTAAATAATGTTTTGTACTTATTTGTCTATTAACCTGGAAACCCTTGTTTTTTCACCTTTTTTTCCCTTATTATTTAAAGGTTTGAGCCATAACCCTACCCCAAAGCCAATTCTTAAATTCCAATGTAACCTAAATTTACAATATACATAACTTCAATTTAAGTTTTTGATAAAATCAAACCACATCATTATTATTTGCTTTTATATCTAAATCAGAAATAATAAACCAACTTTAAGTGGAAAATTTTCACACATCACGCCCCCCCAAACTCAATCCCAGCCTTCAGTTTGTGGTATGGTACCTTGCAGTACAATTTCACAGAGATCCAATTACTTAAACACAATTAATTGTTGGAAACTAAAAAAAAATGCTTATTTTTAACCCCTTTTTTAGCCCCTTATTCCTAAACATTTGAGCAATTATCCCCCAAACTCAATTCCAACTTTCTCTTTGTGATCAGAATTAACCAACTTAAAATGGAAAATTTTAAAGAAAAAAAAGAGGAAAAAAAATCCCCCCCCCAAAAATTTTTTTGACCCACTTCCCTTTGTGGTATGGTACCTTTAAGTACAATTTCAGAGAAATCCATACACTTGAACACAAGTTAATGTCTGGAAAGTAAAACTAGAGGCTCTAAAGAGCCTGTGTCGCTCACCTTGGTCTATGTGAATATTAAACAAAGGATGCAGATGGATTCATGACAAAATTGTGTTTTGGTGATGGTGATGTGTTTGTACATCTTAATTTACTGAACATTTTTCCTGCTTACAATTATCTCTATCTATAATTAACTTGGCCCAGTAGTTTCAGAGGAGAAGATTTTTGTAAAAGATTACTAAGATTTACGAAAAAATGGTTAAATGACTATAAAGGGCAATAACTCCTAAAGGGGTCAACTGACAATTTCGGTCATGTTGACTTATTTGTAGATCTTACTTTGCCGACATTTATTGTTTTTTTACAGTTTATCTCTATCTATAATAATATTCAAGATAATAACCAAAAACAGCAAAATTACCTTAAAATTACCAATTCAGGGGCAGCAACCCAACAACTGGTTGTCCGATTCATCTGAAAATTTCAGGGCAGATAGATCTTGACCTGATGAACAATTTTACTTCATGTCAGATTTGCTTTAAATGCTTTGGTTTTTGAGTTAAAAGCCAAAAACTGAATTTTACCCCTATGTTCTATTTTTAGCCGTGGCGGCCATCTTGGTTGGTTGACCAGCTCACGCCACACATTTTTAAAACTAGATAACCAAATGATGATTGTGGCCAAGTTTGGTTCAATTTGGCCACGTAGTTTCAGAGGAGAAGATTTTTGTAAAAGATTACTAAGATTTACGAAAAATTGATAAAAATTGACTATAAAGGGCAATAACTCCTAAAGGGGTCAACTGACCATTTCAGTCATGTTGACTTATTTGTTAATCTTACTTTGCTGAACATTATTGCTGTTTACAGTTTATCTCTATCTATAATAATATTCAAGATAATAACCAAAAACAGCAAAATTTCCTTAAAATTACCAATTCAGGGGCAGCAACCCAACAACAGGTTGTTGGATTCATCTGAAAATTTCAGGGCAGATAGATCTTGACCTGATAAACAATTTTACTTCATGTCAGATTTGCTCTAAATGCTTTGGTTTTTGAGTTATAAGCCAAAAACTGCATTTTACCCCCATGTTTTATTTTTAGCTGTGGCGGCCATCTTGGTTGGTTGGCCGGGTCACGCCACACATTTTTTAAACTAGATACCCCAATGATGATTGTGGCCAAGTTTGGTTTAATTTGGCCCAGTTGTTTCAGAGGAGAAGATTTTTGTAAAAGATTACTAAGATTTACGAAAAATGGATAAAAATTGACTATAAAGGGCAATTACTCCTAAAGGGGTCAACTGACCATTTCGGTTATATTGACTTATTTGTAAATCTTACTTTGCTGAACATTATTGCTGCTAACAGTTTATCTCTATCTATAATAATATTCAAGATAATAACCAAAAACAGCAAAATTTCCTTAAAATTACCAATTCAGGGGCAGCAACCCAATAACGGGTTGTCCGATTCATCTGAAAATTTCAGGGCAGATAGATCTTGACCTGATGAACAATTTTACCCCATGTCAGATTTGCTCTTAATGCTTTGGTTTTTGAGTTATAAGCTAAAAACTGCATTTTACCCCTATGTTCTATTTTTAGCCTGGCGGCCATCTTGGTTGGTTGGCCGGGTCACGCCACACATTTTTTAAACTAGATACCCCAATGATGATTGTGGCCAAGTTTGGTTAAATTTGGCCCAGTAGTTTCAGAGGAGAAGATTTTTGTAAAAGTTTACGGACGACGGACGACGGACGCAGGACGACGGACGCAAAGTGATGAGAAAAGCTCACTTGACCTTTCAGGTCAGGTGAGCTAAAAATGCTTATTTTTGCCCCCTTTTTATACGACCGCAAAAAATTTTTTGTGGTCGTATATTGGTATGGATCTTTCTGAAATTGTACTACAAGGTTCCATATCACAAAGGGAAAGCTGGGTTTGAGTTTGGGGGTAATTGCCCTAAACTTTTAGGAATTTGGGGCCAAAAAGGGGCCAAAAAACACATTTTTTTCTAGTTTCCAGACAATAACTTGTGTTCAAGTGTATGGATCTCTCTGAAATTGTACTGCAAGGTACCATACCACAAAGGGAAGGCTGGGATTGAGTTTGGGGGTGATGAATCATAATGGGGGTTCAAAAAATTTTGGGGGGGGATTTATTTTTTTTCCCTTTTTTTCTTTTTTTCCTTTTTTGTTTCTTTTAAAATTTTCCATTTTAAGTTGGTTATTTCTGATTTATATTTAAAATCAAATAATAATGATATGGTAGGAGATACACACCAAACAGGATGTGTAAATTATTATATAATAAGTATTGTGCAATAGCAAGAAATTTTCAATTGCACAGTATTGCACAATAGCAAGAAATCTTCAATTGCACAGTATTGCGCAATAGCAAGAAATCTTCAATTGCACAGTATTGCGCAATAGCAAGAAATATCCAATAGCACAATATTGCGCAATAGCAAGAAATTGTCAATTGTACAGTATTGCGCAATAGCAAGAAATATTTAATAGCACAGGATTGTGCAAAAGAAGATACTTCCTATAAATTGCTTATTTCTTGACCAATTTCAATGGGGTTTTATTCTTGATTTCATGGGGTTCTTTAATATGCTGAATCTAACCGTGTAATTAGTTTTTGGATTTTGCGCCCCGTTTTTAAATTGGTCCACATTGAGGTCCAAAGGGTCCAAAATTAAACTTTGTTTGATTTCATCAAAAATTGAATTATTGGGGTTCTTTGATATGCCGAATCTAACTGTGTATTTAGATTCTTAAATTTTGGTTCCATTTTCAAATTGGTCTACATTAAGGTCCAAAGGGTCCAAAATTAAACTTAGTTTGATTTTAACAAAAATTGAATTCTTAGGGTTCTTTGATATGCTGAATCTAAACATGTATTTAGATTTTTGATTATGGGCCCAGTTTTCAAGTTGGTCCAAATCGGGGTCCAAAATTAAACTTTGTTTGATTTCAACAAAAATTGAATATATGGGGTTCTTTGATATGCTGAATCTAACCATGTATTTAGATTTTTGATTTTTGGGCCCCGTTATCAACTTTGTCCACATTGAGGTCCAAAGGGTCCAAAATTAAACTTTGTTTGATTTCATCAAAAATTGAATTATTGGGGTTCTTTGATATGCCGAATCTAACCGTGTATTTAGATTCTTAATTTTTGGTTTCGTTTTCAAATTGGTCTACATTAAGGTCCAAAGGGTCCAAAATTAAACTTAGTTTGATTTTAACAAAAATTGAATTCTTAAGGTTCTTTGATATGCTGAATCTAAACATGTATTTAGATTTTTGATTATGGGCCCAGTTTTCAAGTTGGTCCAAATCGGGGTCCAAAATTAAACTTTGTTTGATTTCAACAAAAATTGAATATATGGGGTTCTTTGATATGCTGAATCTAACCATGTATTTAGATTTTTGATTTTTGGGCCCCGTTATCAACTTTGTCCACATTGAGGTCAAAAGGGTCCAAAATTAAACTTTGTTTGATTTCATCAAAAATTGAATTATTGGGGTTCTTTGATATGCCGAATCTAACCGTTTATTTAGATTCTTAATTTTTGGTTCCGTTTTCAAATTGGTCTACATTAAGGTCCAAAGGGTCCAAAATTAAACTTAGTTTGATTTTAACAAAAATTGAATTCTTAGGGTTCTTTGATATGCTGAATCTAAACATGTATTTAGATTTTTGATTATGGGCCCAGTTTTCAAGTTGGTCCAAATCGGGGTCCAAAATTAAACTTTGTTTGATTTCAACAAAAATTGAATATATGGGGTTCTTTGATATGCTGAATCTAACCATGTATTTAGATTTTTGATTTTTGGGCCCCGTTATCAACTTTGTCCACATTAAGGTCAAAAGGGTCCAAAATTAAACTTTGTTTGATTTCATCAAAAATTGAATTATTGGGGTTCTTTGATATGCCGAATCTAACCGTGTATTTAGATTCTTAATTTTTGGTTCCGTTTTCAAATTGGTCTACATTAAGGTCCAAAGGGTCCAAAATTAAACTTAGTTTGATTTTAACAAAAATTGAATTCTTAGGGTTCTTTGATATGCTGAATCTAAACATGTATTTAGATTTTTGATTATGGGCCCAGTTTTCAAGTTGGTCCAAATCGGGGTCCAAAATTAAACTTTGTTTGATTTCAACAAAAATTGAATATATGGGGTTCTTTGATATGCTGAATCTAACCATGTATTTAGATTTTTGATTTTTGGGCCCCGTTATCAACTTTGTCCACATTGAGGTCAAAAGGGTCCAAAATTAAACTTTGTTTGATTTCATCAAAAATTGAATTCTTGGGGTTCTTTGATATGCTGAATCTAACCATGTATTTAGATTTTGGATATTGGACCATAATAGGTGAATGTCCAATTTAAAATTTTTAAGTTCTTAGACCACATTCAATCTGTGTTAGAAACCTATGCTGTGTCAAATATTTAATCACAATCCAAATCCAAAGCTGTATCAAGCTTGAATGTTGTGTCCATACTTCCCCCAACTGTTCAGGGTTCGACCTCTGCGGTCGTATCAAGCTGCGCCCTGTGGAGCATTTTATTAATAAATGTTTTGGGCAAACATTTTACAATAATATTTAAAACTGAAATTAATTTGTAACCTTAAAATTAAATAGAAAATGACATCATAGTCATAGCTAAAAATAAACAAACTATTGGTAAATTTCCAATGGAGTTTATTATATTAAAACAATAAATTTGCAACCATAAAAGCGCATTAAAATACATCATAAAAGTATTAAAAAAAATTTAACTACATCATAAGGCTATTAAAATAGAAAATGACATCATAGTCAGACTAAAGGTAAACAAAAAACCTTCATCAGCAAAATTTTATATTGGCAAATTTCCAATGAAGTTTATTATACTAAAATAATTGGCAAATTTCCAATTTACATAATTCAAACATAGTGCAGGTGAGATATTTAAATGAGTTTGAATTACCAACCTTACACTGCTTTTAAATAATGTTCTTTACTCAATTATTTGTCTATTAAAATGGAAACCCTAGTTTTTTAACCTTTTTTCCCCTTATTCCTTAAACGAAAAAAAAATAATTACCCCTTTTTTGACCCCCCCCTTCCCCCCCAAACCAAGCTCAATAACAGCCTTGCCTTTGTGGTATGGTACCTTGTAATACAATTTTAGAGAGATCCATACACTTGAACACAAGTTATTGTCTAGAAACTAAAAAATGCTTATTTTTCACCCCTTTTTAGGCCCCTTATTACTAAACGTTTTGGGCAATTACCACAAAACTCAATTCCAGCTTTCCCTTTGCGAAATGGAACCTTGTAGTAAAATTTCAGAAAGATCCATACACTTACACACAAGTTATTGTCATGAAACTAGAAAAATGCTTGTTTTTTGCCCCCTTTTGGCCCCTTATTCCTAAAATTTCGAGGAAATTAACCCCAAAATCAATCCCATCATCGACCCTTTGTGATATGGAATCTTGTAGTACAATGTCAAAGAGATCCATACAATAACACACAAGTTATGTCTGGAAGTTACAAAAATGCTTATTTTAGGCCCCTTTTTGGCCCCTAATTATTTAACTGTTGGTACCATAACCCCCAAAATCAATCCCCACCTTCCTATTGTGGTATTGAACCTTATGGTAAAATTTCATAGAGATCCATTCACTTAAACTAAAGTTAGAGTTCGAAAACCATTGTGTATTCGGACGACGACGACGCCAACGTCATACCAATATACGACCACAAAATTTTTTTGCGGTCGTATAAAAATAAACAGGTGTACGGTTATAGATTATGGATTGAATTCCTTAGAACTGTATATATAAATAATAAACTGCAGTATATTACCTCCAGACAACATAGAATCTACATGTAAACTTGGTGTTTGAGAAAAAGTAGATATTTGTTCACTTGCTTTTACAATTGTGTCTTCTGATGAAACTTCCTTTTTTAGCTCTGTGTCATTCAATTCACTACGAACTGAATGTCGGTCTGCTAAGCGACTTCTTTCACAACATGTAACATTATCAGGTGAATGAGGTAGCTGACTTTTACTAATACATTCTTCAACATTATTTAAAACATAGTCAACTGACTGAACAGATGTACTTTCTGATACAACACTTTCAATCTTAATTGCACCTGGCTTTGTATTTGCATTTTTCACAACTGATTCTACATTTTTCGAGGAATCTGAATGGATTTCTGGTTGTCTATGTATGGCTTTCGGTAAAGTTTCTCTACAGTCATTTTTGGTTTTTCCACTTTTTACACCAGACCCACTGGGTTGACAACTTTCATCAAAGATTGGTCTTGCACCACAAGATAACATGTCTGGAATGCTGTTACTTCTTGCTCCTATCAAACTGCTGCCAGATTCTGAAGTCCTTCCTGTTTGTAAGACACCCTGATCACCATTTCTTCTAGTGTTACATGGTTTTGCATCAACTATAGACAAATCATCTTTTTCCCCTGTTTCACTTAAGTTCAGAATGGAATCTTGAAGTAAACCATCTGTTTCTTTGTTATTATTGTCTGTGTCTTTACCACCATCATTGAATTGTTCTACATCATTTAACTCAATATGATTCAAGTTCTTGCGACCACATCTATTACACAATACTATTGTTGCTTCTTCACAATCATCTGGAAAAAAGAGATATTACAATAAATTCTTTTTCTAAACTTAAAGGGGCATTAGCTACAAGATATAAAAAAAATAAAATATATTTTTTTTGTTAGTTCAATCATTAGTGAAAGAGAAATAGTATAATAATAATTTGCTTTGAGAAGTCAGTTTGGTTCAATTTTGTCAAAATAAGCTAAGAAACATCGCTGATGAATTATTCACTTGCATGTGAATAATTCCACCTCATTGAATCCATATTCATGTGACCTTCAATTTAACCCCTTAGCTGGAAATTGGTTACACATAAACTAGGCGTGTTCTGCTATTAAAATGAAAAGAATGAACATTGAAAGTGAAACACAGGAAAACCATTTGGTTGACTGATTCGATCCACAAAAACTCATTCTTATACAGGTGAAAACGATGATTAACATATTTGTTTAACCTATTAAATGAAATCAAACGGACCTAGAAAAATCTAATTGCACGTATTCTATATCTATTTATATCTATAGTATATTTATGTTTATATTGGGTTATATGACCATCGGCAGTCTTTGGAGGTCACTGCAATGGTTAATTAGATGGCGTCTAGACTAGAATACACAAGAAATGCTGATACATGAACCAAATATGAGAATTTGAGTCAAATCAGTGAACATAAATTTGACAGCTAATGCCCCTTTAAGAAATTTTTTTGACAGAAATGTTTTATCCACCTTAAACAATAACAAAGAATCTTTATAAATTCCACACATAATGGTATCTCAAATTTGGTTCAAATTAGCCAAGCTTTTTCAGAAAAATAAAACCAAGATTTCTCATTATAGAAACCATAAATAAAGGGGCATTAGCTGTTCAATTCATGTTAACTGATTTGATTTAATTCTCATATTTAATATTTTACAAACTCAAACTTCTATTTATTATTATTACAAAAAGTCCAAAAGAACAATTAACATCCCATGGACTTTTTATTATGTATCAGCATTTTGTGTGTATCTGAAACTAGATACCATCTTATTACAATCAAGATGACATTTAAAGAATGCTAATGGTCATATGACCTGATGTAAACATATATATAAATACACAAACAAGAAGATGTAATCGTATAATGAGGATTATTCTATAGGTCTGTTTGATTTTATGACATACATTAAAAAACATCTGGCCAAAGGGCATTTGATAGGCATTTGTTTTGCATATTGAAATTGTTGCAAGAATAAAATGGCATATTTCGAAGACATTTAATCATTAGCTAATAAAAAGGCTCTAATAAAACATGCCTCTGTAATAAAACATGCATGAGGATATCCTCTTTTTAAATCGAACAGTTATGTTCACCAATTCCAACATTTCTGTTACATTTCTACTAAATCAATCCATGCAAATTCAAGCTATGGTACAATTTGTGAAATCTGACAATTAAAGTTGCAGAACCGGTTAAAATTTAAAATACCAAAAGGAAGCTTTTTTCCATCAATCCTCAAAATAATTTAAAGTTTGGGGGACATCATTCCAGGAATACAAGAATTATAGTGCACCATTTGTGAATAAACTGCTTCTCCTAGCGCAGCTGGATACGACCGCAGAGGTCCAACCCTGAACAGTTTGGACAAAAATAGACACAATATTCAAGCTTGATACAGGGCCGAATTTGGATTGTAATTAAATATTTGACACATTATAGGTTTCTGACACAGAATAAATATAGTCAAAGAACTTGAAATTGGTTATATGATTTGAATTTATATTCAATTGAAGATTTCTTGCTGTTGTGCAATACACTGTGCTATTGCGCAATGCTTAGTAAATCTGTTTTCAGACTATTTACAAAGAATTAGCAAAATAAATTGTGCCACTCAATTTTTCTTTGGAAAATTGACAATTTCTTAAATCTTGAGGAAAAAAAAATTGACTTCCCTTCAAAAAAAATAATATTTGAAGAAATTTTCTTTTTAAATACTTAAATCTTGAGGAAAAAAATTGCACCCCCAAAATTATTTTTTTTTACCCCCCTCCCCCCACCTCCAAAATAAATAATATATGAAGAAATTTTCTTTTTGTAAAATGTGGTACAATTTAAGAGACAGCCATACCCTAAAACACAAGTTATTGTCTGAAAACTAGAAAAATGCTTGTTTTAGACCCTTTTTGGCCCCTAATTCCTGAACGCTTTCGGCAATTACCCAACAAAATGAATCCCAACCTTCTACTTATTTTTTTTTTTATTTGTTTTTCAGTAGTCAGGCTTTTACAATCCCTGTACATCACCACCTGACTATGGTGTTAAGGGGTTTGATATAGGAAACAAAAAATTTAATAATTGACTACATTTTTTTTCTACTGTGAATATATATTATATGAATATCAACATTATAATAAAAAGGGGAAAAGAAAACAATCACACACACATACACCCACTCTTGCACTTGCTTTAACATAACATACATCAACTTGTGTATTGCAAAGAAAAATGTTATCTTTGTAAAGATCTGCTCTTTATAAACTGTAAGTTTCGTTTTTTACTTTATATGATTTGAATCAAAAGTAATTGTTACTAATCAGTAAAAATGTAATCTACTGGGGCCCAGAATTTTTGAAAAAAAGGTGTGGTACCATTTTTCTTTGCTATATAATGTTCATTTTCCTGATATTTTCTTATTTTTGCTAAAAGTCCTATAATACGTGGCTTCTTTTCATACAATTTACATTTGTATATATAGTTCTTTGCAATGATAATCATCAAATTCAACAGTAAACTCTCATTTTGAAGGCCAAGAAAAATGTGTTTCTTAGATAATGTGAAGTTCACAAAATATTGTTTTAATTTTTGTGAAAAAGATTGCCATATAAAATGTGTTATTGGACATTCATGGAATAAATGCTCCATGGTTTCATCAGAAACCTTACAAAAAGTACAAAGCTTTGAATATTTACAAGAAAGTATTAGTTGCAATTATTCTATGTAAAAATTTGTACTGAAAAGTTCTTAAATAAGTGTCTTTACATGATTTTCTTAAAATAATATAATATTCTGACCAATCTGCAATTTCAATACCTAATAATTTCTCCCATTGTAAGAACTTTTCTGTTGGCAGTTGCACATTTCTGTCAACAAGATCTTTGTATACAAACTTTGCCTTTTTGTTACACAATAATCTTTCCAAAAAATTATCAATACAGTTAAAAGTTTCAAAATTTACATGAGCAATGTTTTCTGTAATATATTCTCTCATATACTTTGGAATGTTTGCAATGAGACCATAATACTTTAAGAAATTATTTGTTTGAAGTCTTGGTCCTATCTGATCAAAATTACAAAAATTCTTAGTCTCTACGTTAACAAGGTCAAACAAAGACTGCACTCCCCTTCTCTGCCACTGAATAAAGTACGAAAAATCTACTAGAGATGCGAAATTTAAAATATCTAATGACAAAATATCTTGAACAGAAATATTGGTAGTAGGCCTTGCTACATGAAAGCTTAAAAATACATCTTTCCAAAAAGGATTGCTAAGACTATCAGAGATTTCTCTGAGTTTCTCCTTTTGAAAATGCAATACTCTTTCTCCTCCATACTGTTCAAGGCTTTTCAATAACAATGATTGCCAACTACCAGATAAATTGGATGAAAACCTCTTTATCCAACCAATCTTAAGGTATATATTAAAATAATGTATATTAATCATATTTAAACCTCCTTGTGGAATATCTCCGATTAAAGTACTTCGTTTAATTCGATCAGGTTTTCCACTCCATATGAATTGAAAGAATAAAGTATTCAATTCATTTAATTTTGACTCTGGCAAGTTGAATAGTGCAGTCAACAGGTGAATTAATTTTGGAAGTGCCAAAGTCTTGATAACAGTAATCTTTCCCATTAGGGTTAATTTTCTACATTGCCAACTCTGAAGAATGCCTGACACTTCCTTTATCTTTTTGGAGAAGTTAATTTCTGGCATACTGTCAAGATCTAAAGAGAATTCAATTCCCAAAAGTTTAAAATTTGAATAGCACCACTGAAGTTTTAAATCAGGACAGAGAATCAGATCTGAATACTTTTTGTTTCCAACCCACACATCTTTAGGGGACGACCATTTGATATTCTGGGGGGGGGGGGGGGGGCCAGGAGGATTTTGAAAATAAATAACTCAGCCTTGATTATCACAAAAATAAATGGTTTGTTCTGTGGTAGTTTGAAAATAAATTACCTGACTTGCAATGTATTGAAAATAAATAACTCAGCAGGTCTAATCGAAAGTATGAGATGGCACCAGATTCTTCATAAATTCATCTTCTTTCCAAAAAAAAATCGGGAAACACTTCCCATATCTTTTAATAATAAAAGTATAAATATTATTTAAATATACTTGAAATGTCAGAAAATTGGTTTCATTTAACTTGAGGTTAATTGTCTCAGGAACACTTACCTCACTTTTATTAAATCAGGGCCGTAACTACATTGAGACAAATGCCTCATGTAGGAAATTTCAAAACCAAACGCTTGTCTCCATATCAAATTGTGTTCACCGTGAGTGCCTTGCAAGAAGCAAGTTCTGTTCTCCCTCAGACGTAGCCCCTGATTTTTTGGGATCAATGTTTCTTATTTATTTGTCTTTTGTTCATTGATTGCCCTTCTGTATTCTGTTAGTGTTGCATTCATTTTGTAATTTTGTAATTTTATTATTAACTTGATCATGAGTTTAAAAAAACACTGCAGCCACAGACTTAACTATGTGAATTACATTTTTGCTTTATCATGTATATTTGTCTTTTGATGTTGTTCCTAGAAACTTAAGTCTTACACTGAATCTATAACGTGATTTTGCTTTGAGACCAAAATATTGTCATAAAATTATTAAAACAGAACTTGCATTTTCAGTTTAAGAAAGGGTCTGGGGAACACCCAGAAGGCATGATTTTGCATCATTTGTTCTATAGCTTCTTGGGCCTTCAGCGGTTCAAAAACCCTTAAAAAAAATTTTGCCTCGCTCCGCTCGGCGAAACATCT